TCATATTTCTTGGCATCTCTCGCACTGAGAATCTTGCTTGGCGAAATTTCGTCTATCTCGTAACTGGACCGCCAAAAGATAGATGGATATATTTATTATTATTATTTTAAGAACATCCAATAACTTTTCATGCATGGGTTAAAATTCTCTTCTTACCCTAGGTGTTTATGATAAAACTCAGACGCTGCCGTGTTTTCTGAAGTCAACATTGATTGAACGATTAAGTGTGATGTTAACAAATAAATGAAATATTAATAATCATAATCATTATTAAAATACCTTTGAAGGTCGTCAACATACTTTTCTTCATTCCCCAATGCTTACCGATTTTCTCCATTGTGTTTATCAGGAATTTTCCTAATCCTTTCCTTCTTGCCTCTTTGATCAATTGTATTTCATAGCTGTGTATGAACGATGAAAAGTTAAGTGAATCCCGTCTATTGTAATACAATAACTCCGTTCGATTATGCTCACGCACCAGTAAATGACTTCAACCTCTTGGTCGTCCGTCATGATCTCTTCCCACGTGAATTGAAACATGACAAAACCAAGTGGTCTTCCGGCTAAGTTATTCGATTCTGACTTGTCAATTTGTCTCGCAATAAGGTAGCGCGCGCCGGCCTCGCGCAATTCCTTTCTCTTCTTGACAGAACTCCAACCTAAATTTGAATTTTCATAACTAAAGTCTTGGAATCAGGTTTAGACGTCTCATATATATATATATTCATTGGTTAAAAGAAAATCCGAAAACGCACAATTTCTTCATGTTTTCCTTTAGCAATTGATAGGTCCATTTTTTTAAGTCAACCGGAAGAGATTCGACGGAGTAGTATTCGATGACTGAATTGAAGCTTTGGTGGAAAGGGAAAAGAAGTCAAGACAAAAATAAAAGGCCTGGAAAAAGATTCGTGGTTCATACTTTTCTCGACTATAACTTATCGAAGGTCCAAGAAATTCCGTAACATTGGTCGCCTTTCGTCGAGAGATACGCGTATTAATATGGTGCTTTTACAAGGAGCGGAGAAGTAACTTTGAGAGTGTCAAACCTTGTTTGCTATATCAACCAGATTTCGATCAGTCGTTAGAACAGTCGACATTTGAAGAACATGCGTACGAACGCATGACGCGTGAAAATTTGAAAACTATCAGCTGATCCTAATTTAGTTCGCACCCGATTTATCCAATCAATTTTTAACCCGTAAAATGGATAAGAATAAAGCATAAACTCTTTCGTTTAATTTCGACTTGTTCTAAAATGCTCGATTTCTTCACCATTTTGACAAAGGGCGGTGTCGTCCTTTGGTCGAAAACCTTCGCTCGCATTACGGGATCACCCATTAACTCTTTAATCAAAGATGTGTTGATCGAAGAAAGAGGTGGAACGCACAGTTATAATAAAGACTCGTATGACTTGAGGTGGATCTTTGCTAACGAACTGGACTTGATTTTTGTGGTAAATGTCCAATAATGTGAGTTGCACTGGTTGGTCGATCTAAAACAAACTTGCAATTTCCATAGTTGAAGTTATCCGACAAGAACAAATTTAATTGAATTTGCAGCCTAGAGTTGTGTTATTTTAACCTTCTACATAATCACCCTAACAATAGGTAGCATATCAGAAAATCCTTCAACTCACTTATATCGATGAACTCTTGGTCACTATCAAAAAACTTTTCTGCGACAAATTTGCAAACTTAATTCGAGACACCACTAGAAGTCACAAGTACACTTTTGATGATGATTTCGATTCAATCCTGCGTAGTATCGAAGAAAAAGATGCGCGAGTAAGTTTTTTTCCTCGATCTTTTAACATTTTGCTTGATAAACGATTGATCAAGATGATTTTTCTCAGGAACAACAAAATAAGAGAAAAAAACCGCGTGAATTTGAAGAGACAAAAAAATTCCGAGAAACTGTAGAAGGGAACAAAAAACTCGGTGAATAAACTTGCTCTCAAAAGCTTTGCATTGAACAAAATCTAATTGACCTATGAAAAATTATTAGACGCAAAAGACCTTGTTAAACCACCACTCAATCCTGTTATCAGCGAAGACGAGATCACACGCAACATTGAGGCCATTCGTATTAATAAAGGTCGCGGTGGTAAATTTAAAAAAGGTTCAAAATCATCTTCGATTCCAACCAACGACCATTCTGAGTAAGTTGACAAAATAAAAACTTTCTTTGATGTAACTTTACGACAACGCTAAATTTGTACTCCCTTGTCGGCCAGTGATAAAAAGTCTGCAAGAAAAAAAGTAATGCGAGTTTGGGATGATAAAGTGACCAAGGAACAAATGGAAAGTCTTGACTATAGTGGACAAAATGGTGATTCCGATGGATCACCGGAGGCTATTCGTCAACATCTTGTTGACGAAAACCAATTGGGTCATTTCCAAAATGGTCATTATGTAGTGCAAGATTTGGGTGTAAACGAGGAAGACGAAGGAGAAGAGGAGGAGGAGGAGGAGGAGGAAGAAGAACACGAAGAAATTAATGGCGTCACAAACAATGGTGGTGCCAAAGGATCGGGCATGTTTTCGTTTTTCAAAAACATCATGGGTCAAAAGGAAATCACTGAACAAGATCTTGCACCAGTGTTGGCAAAAATGAAAGAACATCTGATCAAAAAGAATGTTGCAGCTGACATTTCGACTCATTTGTGCGATTCAGTAGCAAGGAACCTTGTGGGTCAAAAGAC